TCCCCCCCCCCCCCCCAAATGCTGGGATTACAGGCGTGAGCCACCACGCCCAGCTTCCAATATACTTTTTGTTTCGATATTTTGTTCATAACCAGATGAATACATTGAAAATCCCTAATCACTGAAAAGATGACGATGTCTTCCCCTCCATATGTAATTCAATATTAAAATAATACTAGCAAATGTGGGTTTTTTTTCCCTACGAGTACTTCAGACATTTTTGTTTTTTAAATACCAAATATAAAATTACTTCGAAACATCCCTTCCCCCACTTTTTGGTGACCCTGTTTTGCTGGTTCCCTAATCAATGACATCACTTAAAGCTATGACTAGCGGCACTAGAGTCCAGTGGTTAGTAACATGGACTTTGGCATCAGTTTGTGCTGGCTCTGCCACGTATTGGCTTTATGACCTTGGGCAAGTTACTGGAATCTCTCTGTGACTCAATTATTTCATCTTTAAAGTGGGGATTATAACAGTATTCACTTCACTGGGTTGTTGTGAGGTTCATATACAGCAGATGCCATGCCTCTTGTGTAGAAAGTTGTACACATTTGGTGTGTGGTATTAACACAGATTGTACAGAGATTACTTGGCAATGCCTCTTCTCTTACACTATTGAGCTCCTTGAGGGAAGACGCTATGAGGGGGGACCCCAAAAAACCCGGGATTTATAATAAAAAATTGTGCATTTATTCTTACATGTTTAAACTCCTGTCACCTTCAAAGTACTCTCCGTTCGATCCTATACACTAACGTGACACTTTTTCCACTGCTCAAAGGAGTTTTTTTTTTTGAGTTGGAGTCTCACTCTGTTGCCCAGGCTGGAGTGCAATGGCACGTTCATGGCCACCGCAGCCTCGACCTGCTGGGCTCAGGTGATCCTTCCACCTCAGCCTTCCAAGTAGCTGGGACTATAGGCGTGTTCCACCATGCCCGGCTAATTTTTTGACTTATTGTAGAGATGAAGTCTCACCAAGTTGTCCAGGTTGGTCTCGAACCCTGGGCTTAGGCAATCCTCTCGCCTCAGCCTTCCAAAGTGTTGGGATTACAGGTGTGAACCACCACGCCTGGCTCAAAAGAGTTTTGAAATCATCAATTTTGATGTCTTTTAGAACTTCTGCTTTTTTTTTTTTTTTTTTTACTTTTTCCACATTGTCAAAACTTTGAAGACTTCTTTTCATCTGGGGAAATGAAAAAAAGAGTCACTCAGGGAGAGATTGGGCAAATAGGGAGAGTGGGACATGGAGATCATGCCATTTTTGGCCAAAATTCAAGTTGAACACTCAGCGTGGTGTGGGCAGGTTTGTTGTCATGGTGGAAGAGCCAGTCACCTGTTTGCTACAACTTGGGACATTTCTTTCACAGTGCAGCCTCTCACAACAACACTAGCTGGTATACTGATGCCGATGGGTTCCTAGAACACTTACCTACTGGGGAAAGCCTGTGCTACAAGCGACCCACCCTTCAAAAGATAATTCTGGTTTTTTTTTGGGGGGGGTGCCCCTTGTGTATACCTTACTGATCAATGCACAACCCGGTGCCTGGTGGCTATGCACGTAGTGTTTGACACAAGAGTGGATTATCAGTAGGCAAGTAAATGTACCTCCATTGATTATCTTGCAGACCTCTCTCAGTTTACTGGCGTATCTAGAGAAAAAGGCTGAAATAGATGATGATAATTTGACGGTACTGGAGAACCTCTGCGAAAAGGTTTTACCTAAACTTACGAAAAAAATAGAGAAGTACAAAAGAGAGAAAGGTAAGTAGCTTATGCTCACTGACTTGCATGGGGATTCTTAAACCAGTTGGCCATGCGTGACACTTTTGCATCATTCTGATAATATCCTCTTGGGAAAACCAGAAGTCTCCCTATTTGTTCATTCAACACAAATTTATTGAATCCATCCTTTGTATCAGTGCTGATTTAGAAGTTGGGGCTGGCCAGGTGCGGTGACTCACTTCTATAATCCCAGTACTTTGGGAGGCTGAGGTGAGAGGATTACCTGAGTCCAGAGGTTCGAGACCAGCCTGGGCAACTTGGTGAGACCTCATCTCTACAATAAGTCAAAAAATTAGCCGGGCGTGGTGACACACGCCTATAGTCCCAGCTACCTGGAAGCCTGAGGCAGAAGGAACACCTGAGCCCAGCAGGTCGAGGCTGCAGTGGCCATGAGCATGCCACTGCACTCCAGCCTGGATGACAGAGTGAGACTCTAACTAAAAAAAAAAAAAAAAAAAAAAGAATTCTGGGCCATAGCAAGGTACAGAACAAAGCTCCTGCTCTCTTGAAGCTTAGATTCTAGTGGGGTGAAGTCATTATAGACAAATGTCTTGTTCTGATTCTTTTTTTTTTCCCTGAGTCAGAGTCTCACTCTATTGCCCAGATTCGAGTGCAGTGGCATGCTCATGGCCATTGCAGCCTCTACCTGCCGGGCTCAGGCAATCCTTCTGTCTCAGCCTCCCAAGTAGCTGGGATTACAGGTATGTGGCCACCGTGCCCTGCCAGTTTTTTTAGTTTATTGTAGAGATGAGGTCTCGCCAAGTTACCCAGGCTGGTCTTGAAACCCTGGATTTAGGCAGTCCTCTCGCCTCCACCTCTCAAAATGCTGGGATTACAGGTGTGAACCACCGCGCTCAACCTTTCTATTGTTTCTTTTATGGGAGTAAGAGTATAGGATGTTGTTTAGAATGAAATAACGTACAAAAGAAGGCAGTATAGTATAGCATAGGGGTTAAGAGTAGAATCTGTAGAGTGGAATTGCCAGGAATCCACTTACTAGTAGTGCAGTGGCCCTTCCTTGGTTCTTCTTTGCCTCACTTTCCCCATCTGTAAAGTGAGCATAACAATAATAGTACCTAGCTTTCCAACTTGGACCCTGCAGAATGGCAGTCACAAAGAAGGGCGACAAGAAGGGCCATTCTGCCATCAATGATGACCCAAGAATACACCATCAACATTCACAAGTGCATCTGTGGAGTGGGCTTCAAGAAGCGTGCCCCTCGGGCGCTCAAAGAGATCTGAAAATTTGCCATGAAGGAGATGGGGACTCCAGCTGTGCACATTGATACCAGGCTCAACACGATTGTCTGGGCCAAAGGAATAAGGAATGTCCTATACTGTGCATGTGCAGTTGTCCATCTCTTCATGAGGCTGAAGACTCACCAAACAAGCTTTCTACTTTGGTGACCTGTGTACCTGTCACCAATTTAAAAAATCTACAGACAGTCAAGATGGATGAGAACTAATCACTGATCATCAAGTACATCAAATAAAGTTTTATAATCACCTTCAAAAAAGTATAATAATAGTACCTACCTCACAGGTTTTTGTGAGGATTGCATGGGAGAATGTGTACAAAATGCATGTCTGCATGTAGTAAGCACTCAGTATATGCTGCCATTATGACCATGTTTGTCAGAGAAAAGTTATGAAAACTTTCATATTTCTAGAAATTACTATTAGACAAAAATTTTATTTTCTTGTTTTTTATTTTTTTAAATAGGGATAGGGGCTTTTTCTGTTTCCCAGGCTGGTCTCAAGCTCCTGGGCTTAAGCTTTTCTCCCACCTGGCCCTCCCAAAGTGCTGGGATTAAAAACATGAGCCACCACACCTAGCCTCTTGTTTTTTTTTTAAAGTCTGTCTTATAGAGGTAGTTTTGTTAATTATATAGAGGCAGAAGCCCAGGGCAGAGGTCAGACCCTGTTGGCTCACATGTGACAATATGCTAAGTATTTTTTTCTCCAAGTTCATCGTTCCATTGTTAAACATGAGTTATACATTAACAACTCATGAATATATTCATGAAGCTTTTATGCCACACCCATAATTTAGTTCAGGAAGTGAAGAGAGTGTGCAAATTTCTTTGGTTAAAAATGAAACTACCTAAGAGGAAGCTTCTCTCTAAGAATTCTGTTAACACAGAATGAGTTGAGAACAAAATATACTGCTATTAAAATGATAAAATCTCAAATAAAAACAATGTTTAAGTACATAATTTAAGTCAACATTATGAAGAACAAAAACATTCTTCTTATCATCAAGTTACCAATGAGAAATAAGAAACAGGAGGTTGGGACCAGGCGCAGTGGCTCACAGATATAATCCCAGCACTTTGGGAGGCCGAGGTGAGAGGACTGCCTTGAGCCCACAGGTTCGAGGAGACCAGCCTGGGCAATTTGATGAGACCCCATCTCTACAAC